CCCCCATCTCCGGGCTTGGTCACTTTTTATGACCTTCACGCCGTGGGACTCTTTCGAAATCAGCGATTATCCTGGCAGTATTCAAGGTACACTTTAGAGATCGGAACCAATTAACATGACCAATCTCACCAGAAGTTTTCTAAGGCTCAGTATTCGATAATTCAACACAGGGATTCCAATATGTTTTCCTAATTTTCCATCGCCCGTGAAAATTAAATTAAGAACATTTCACTATTGCCTGGACTATTTCTGAGAGGTTATCGAGAACGATCTCACCTGTGCTACCACCGAGTAGGTAGGTGGTATCGAAGTACGTCCACCCATACAGTCTGGTTGTGTTCCTGTCCTGATAAAAACCTCCCCCTCTTCCACCATGACCTCCACCGTGATAGCTGAAGGCTCCACCAGGCCCCGCACCTATCAATAAAACCAAGGAGAGTAAAAGTGTAATCGCTAACGAACTATAAAAAGAATCGAAGGTTGCTTGTCTGAACTTGTTGCTTGTTATGCACCAAAGTGATACCACTGATAACTTAAGTACTTCGTCATGGTTTGCGCCTGTCGAAAATTTCAGTCGGAATTTTTTATGTTCGTTATTTGCAACATGTGTCAATCTTCTCGAACCTTGCAAATCCTATCTGGTGTGTACAGCTAACCGTTTGCCTTATGTTTATCATGCAGGGAAATTGAACACTTTCAATTGCATCAGTGGTTCGCTTGAAAGCTGTCATTGCTATATACAAATCTTTGTTATTCATTCAGTCAAGAGAAAGTTTCCTTTGATTCTGATAATTTATTTCAATGCGACTGAAGGAAACCAAAGACAGCATTCTACAAAATAATTTCTCATTTATGTTTTTATTTTTTTATCTATTTATCCATTTATCTATTCAGCTATTTGTTTTTTGTTTTCTGGTTTTTTTTTTTATCCTTTCATCGATCGATTTATTTATTTGATAGTTTCTCTCTTTTGACTATTTATTGAGCAGTTTTAAATTGAGTGTCAACAAATCCAAAACCAAAGTGATCACAACAACCAATGAAAACAAAGGTTGATGTCATCATTAACCAATGAGAAGTCAAGGCAAAAAATCAGGCAATCTGCTCGAAGGGCGGGAAAACGCGTGACTAAGGTAGGATTGGTTTCAGTTTTGCATCTGATTGCGGGTTCAGACGATGGCGTAAGTTTTCTAGACCAATCACACAGCGAAATAAGCAAAACCTAAGCAATCCAGGATCACTTTTAACACTCAATTTAAGACTACTCTATCATTATCACATAGAACTTCACCAAAACTTACCTGTCTTTCTCTCCTTCCTATATGCGCACTTAGATTATTTGAATTAAACGTTTACTTACCCAATGTACAGCAAGTTTTATTCATCCGTACAAATCCTCCGAGCCAAAACAGCTGTTTATCGTTAGAAGTAAAATTGACTTCTTGACCACTCACATCTAAGTCAGTCCCCACCGTAAAATTGCCCTGAACGATCACAGAAAGGGCATTTGTTCCAAGGATGGATATTTTGTTTTTCTTATGAAAGATTTCATTGGCCATACTTCCATTGGTGATATTAAACTCTGCCACGGAATAGTTCCAAATTCCGTCATTAGGACCATGAAAAATTCTGGTTTTCATCGTACCGGTTGTCACGCTAGAACGCCCCTCCATTGCCATCTCTGCTGAGGTTGTGTTGATAATGTAAGTCTGTTGCCCAACAATGAAACCTGACGGAAGTAAAATGTAAAAAAAAAAAAAACAAAAACACAAAAAAGTTAAAGCAACAACCAAAAAAAATGGAAATGGAAAGTTTAAAGTAAAAGTAAAGTCTGCGCCATTAAAGAAGCTTATTGAGGCAAGTAAGAATAAACAAATGTCATAGAATCTGTTATCATACTAATTTAAAGAACGAAGAAAAAGAACGGAAAAAACGGTAGTTTTTCTTTCTGATCTTTGCCTATATTTTTGAAACAGAGGTAGATTCACCGTTAGTCGTCCGTCCGATTACTGTATGGTCAAGTTAAAAAAAAAATTTGTCGATCAAATTCAATGCTGGCACCATGGCAAAATACCCTTCAGTTACTACTAGTAATAGTTTTCTTCAGGGCCAATGAACCTGTTTGCCAATTGTTTTCCAAAGGGAAATACAAAAACTTTTCCTTTTGGGAAATGCAAGCATTGCAATATTATTGGGTTTCTTGCTCTTGTTAGAAATGTCTGGTACAATCACTCGTATAAAAGAGATCGGGAAAAAAGCAGTATCAACAAGTCTTGCGCCATGTTGTGCGGTTCCCTCTACTCAAAGGTTTCTGTAACGCAATTAATTATAAACTTTAATCCGTTCTCTCTTACTTCAATGAAACAAAAGGGCGAACTCTGTGTCCTGCTCAAGCGTCCGTTCTTTAATGCAGCGAAGCGCGCGTGGTGTCAATTGCGTAACACTTCATCAAGCACCGAGCATCGGGCCTGAGGACGAGAAAGCAACGAACTAACGAAAGCGTATATTAGGTAATGCAACATCTTGGTGCGCTTTGACTTGTATGAGTCAGTCAGAAAGTTTTTATTTTAGCACTTCGTCATATATAACTTTTTTTTAATTATTATTTTAGCTTACTAAACAAGGGAAAAGAGCACGAACATTCTGCTGCTATTGGTGGCGTTTAAACATTTTTGGTTACGCTCTATCTATGACAGGTGTATCCACCGATTCAACAATGGCTTCACAAAGTGTAATGCAACGACCTTCCCGGTGAACATTTTCGGAAAGATAAAATTACTTTTAACAGTATTGAATATGAAGAAAGGGTTTAAGGTTCCTATCTCTAAATTTAGAACTTCTGTACCTTTGAATGATCGTGACAACAGACCACTTTATCTAAAGTGCTAGTTGCCCAGTTGTTTTATATGGTCACTTTAATTAGAAAACTCATTAGAACTCCATCTTCCAATGGGCATAGTCTGGAAAGCTCTCAAGTTACAAGGTACAAGACCTCCCGTGTACATTCAGCTTTTCTATAGTTCTGTTTGTCAAGTCATGATATGATCGAGTTCACAAATTATTGACAAAAATATTAGACACATGACAGGTGTCATTATTATGTATCTGAGCACGTACTGAACGTGCCTCCATTAAATGTCCGAAAACAACGGTAAAAAGTTGAAAACTGAGCAGAGAACGCTCATTCGCGTGAACAACACAACAAGTCTTTCATTCAGATGTTGCTAATTCAAAGCAAGGACGAATTTCGAGAAAAATTCACTTCAATAGAATCAAGCATTCTGCTGGCGATATTTTGCCTTTGTGCAAAGAATGTCAGCGAAATAATAAAGGATTCATAAGTTACTGGCATCTAATAAAAACCCTTGCTAAACCTACTACAGAAATTTTTCGAAGGAAAAATGTTTTTTTTCCGTTGCACTGAAAGCGTAAAACATTCAAAAACAGCTTTAACTACGAAGTTAAATTATGGTAAAATTATCACATAGGAACAATAAATGAGGGGATATTTACATTAGCGAGGGCAGAAGAGATGCTGCAAACCTAGATTCCAATGGGTCTCTTTTCTATTCGTCTAAATAGAATTTGTTTTAGCAAAAACAAATACAGTGATGTCTCAAACTAAATCCCAATGAAAATTGATAATGCTTGAATCCTCTATAAGAGATTCACACGAAAATCACTTGCAGTTAACACCGAGAAGGATGTGTTTTCGTCTCGTCACAAGCGTGGGATTCCGTGCACCAATGCTTTACCTGTGAACTATACGGAGACTCCACGGTTGGCAAGGCATCATTTGTTAGCAGCGTATGTTGATAATGAAATTATAAACATTTCGATGTTCTCACTCACGTAAAATAAAGTTAATTTCCACTGAACAAATTATCCGATAACGTTGCTGCTGCAAAATGGTCAATAGCGAGTTTCGTTTTATTCTATGTCTAGTTTTAGCTGATGGTTTTATTCAGGTTACAAAACTCAGAAATTGGCCAGTTTCTTTTTCTTGACCCTCATAAATGAAAACATGCAAACAAGATTTGCTTAATCATTTTTTTCGGTATTCCTTGACAGGTTCCGAGAGTCTTTTCAAAGATGGTCGACAGTCCTGGCTTTTTTCGTTACCAAGGACAAGGGAGGAAAGCATGTGATCTAGATCTGTTCCCGGCCTCGGAGTACTGAAGTGAATGGAACAGTTAAATCATGATTTATCTTTGCAAATATGGCAAATATAAGTTTCATTCTTCGTGAATTTACAATAGTTTGCTTTCATTTGAAATCTGATTTTAACCAAGACTTGACCGTCAGTTTTACAGTGCTTCCATTCGCGAAATTGAAACTGCCCCATAAACAACTCAAAATTTGTTGTCTTCCACCCACGTTCAAATTATCATTTGAAACTACTATGTTCTCTTTTTAAGTATCATAAATTACCATTGATGATCTTTTTCATTCATGCCAGTGAGTTTTCATTTAGAGTTTCATTATTATTTTACTGCACGATTTCGTCTATTAACTCATGATTGTCGCGAAGACAATGTTCTCCCGTGCTCCAGACCTAAGACGTGTTTTTAAGCCTTCTACACTGTTTACACGATCAAAGCTCTTGCGCAACAACACAAAGGATCTTGTCAAAAGTTTCGGATCATTTTTGTCATAAACACACTATATGGCTCAGTCCATTGCTCTTCCTATGCCACGCTTTATGAACACGTAGAGAGACACTGACAGCACGATTAATGCAGAGATATAAGGTGGAAGCACAGATAATCGCTGCACTTACTATTGGAGAGCGAGTGATATGGCATGACGCCAGAATAAGTGATTTAAAATTTTTAAAAATAGACCTGTCTCTACGTTTGCAGAATTCTCCTAACTTTTTTTTTTTTCAGAGAACTCAAACCTGTCTTCTTTTTCTCGAGGGTTCCTCAATTTCATACTGTTTTCATCTGCTATAATTTTTCACTTCAAGTTTATTTGCTTAAAAGAGGCAACCTCATCAAAGTCAGCCAATTAAACGTAGCTTCACCGAAAAAAAGGGATCGACAACAAACTATATTATTTTTTAAAGCAAGCATTTAATACAAATACCACAATGGGTGCCAAATTAAAGTGGAGCCAGAGGAGGTTAAAAATAGGAGAATTTTACTAAATTCTACACTTTGCACCACTTCTGCAAGCGATCACCAGCAAGCATAAGGCTATATTATACTACTTGACTATACTAATTTCATTCAAAGTCCGGTCATTTTCACGTCAAAGATCTTTGTGATTGTGACAATAGATAATATTCATTCGTCAACGGTAACCGACAAACATTCATTGTTGTCATTGCTGTTGTCACTGCTCTATAGTCATCCAAAAGTGTCAAGTTCAGATACGTAAACGTAAATGATGGCAAAATAATTACAAGCAATTCACTGTCCATAATTTTTCCAGAACAGCTGCATTGCTCAATACGTGCGAATAGAGCTTTTTTTTCCCTCAGTTACGTTCACTGGAGGTCAAAACGTAAAACATCTATCCCCTACCCGGCTAAAAGCTAAACTCGCTCAGCAATACTCGTGAAGATGGGACAATTGCAAAAAGGAGCAAAATTTAGGATGCGACTGATAAGCGCAATATACCTTTTTTCCCCAGATATACGAATTATTGTTCAATTTTTTTATCAGTTGTAAAGCCGGATCAGATGGAAAAATCTCCTCTTTCGGATTTTTATGTCGAGTTCAGCACACTCAGCCTGGATAGCAGCTTTCATATGAGCACGACGATTGAGAAACATGCATATACATGACAAAAAAACGAAGACTAAACTTTTCCGGCAAATGTTTTTTTTTGTTGTTGTTGTTATCTCCAGCTCCAATTGATAGCAGATAACCGCTCCAAAAAATAGCAATTAAAGATGAATTCTGACGTGAATTCAAAATATACAGTTGCGCGTATCAAGGCAGTTAAAATTAAATGAATTCATTTTGTTCAAATTTTGCAGATCTCCATTTGGAATAATGGATGTTCATCCCTTATCTGTCGGCGCTACTAAACTTCTCAGCGAGAAGCGTAGCGTTTACTGAAGCTTTGCGCAGATTTAGCTCTCATGTATCTTAGGTTTTCCCAAAAAGAATGATTTCTCAATCGATGGATTCATAAACTTCAAAAGAAACTGAGAAGAAATTGAAAAAAAAAAAGAAAAGAAAAAGAAATCATTTAGTGAACCATATTAATTTGCATGATTTTAAAGTAAACATCATATTCTCTCTTTTCGTTCGTGATCTTAACTCAAACAATCACCTTTCGGCGTCTTCTTCGGTCTCAGAGAGAAGATTCAAAATTAAATCCCACCGGCATGTATTTCTACCTTATTATTTATTCAAAAACGCATTGTTTCTCTAAAACTGAGGCTCGCATATTTATCGCGATAAAGTTAAAATTTTTTAATTCATTTATGTAGGCGGTCAAAAATGGTCGAAGAACTCTTCCTGCACCGAGTTTAAAGCGCTCTAATATTAACCAAGAGAAAGGGAATTTTAACGAGATTTTTAAGAAAAACATCCTCATTTATTCCTATGATTAAACTCGATCGATGGCTTTAGAAAATACGCTTTTTTTTAGTACAAGATGTGTACATACAGATTTACCGTCACTTTGCGTTTTCGATGTTAGACAGCTCATCAGTTTCTCGGCAAGATTTGTCACTAGCATTTGAAATAAATCTTGCATAAGCTATCGCGTGACAACATATTGAACCTTTTAAGCAAGAATATTCAAGTAAAAATGTAAATACATTGTATTTGACTGCATCTTTTTTAAAACTTTAGTGCAGTAGACAGATTTCATTTGCATGCGTATGTATTTCAGTTATCTCGGCGACACGGTTAAATTTGACTTTTAATAGCATCAAAACAGAAGTCATTTAGTCGGTTCTATGAATGAATTGAAAGAGTCGATAAGAGGTTAAGATGAAAGGAGTTTATCACAACTGTAGAATTCTGATTAGCAGTTCCTACATCTAAAATTAATATATCATGCATGCGTTTGTTGGGTTACTCTCCAAATAATGTTTCAACACACCGGCTGCAGTGTTCACCGGTGACTTAAATTGCAATAATTTCTGGTCAAATTAAACTCTACAAAAGAGCGAAAATGGGGAAGTAAACCAATATTTGAGGTATGAAGACCACCTCCTGTCACAGCCAGTTCGTTCCCATCGAATAAAAGTGAAAAGAAAGTTAAGCTCTTTGCCGCCTTCATGGTATGGTAAATATGAAAGCCCTGCTGGCTAGTATAGTAACAAAAGTTTCATCAAAATTGCGACATAGGACACCAAAGACGAAAAATTATTTGAAGCTAAAATTAGAGCAAAATTATGCCCCGTTTATGCAGTTTGCAACCTTTAATCTCCGAACAAACCGCTTCTGCTTGCTGACGAAATGTTTGAAGTAAATCGCTGCTTGCGGTCGTCAAAAATGGTTTTGTTTGTTTTTAAAAATACTCAGTTCTACATAATAATAATAGCTCTACCTGATCCCAAATTCAGCAAAAGGAGAACTCCTTGAAGCTGTAAGAGAAGTAGAGAATAAAAAATCGTAAAGACAAAGCCAGATAAATGGATATATTTCAGCAGTGGAATACAGAGCGCTGATGTAATTGAGCGATTTAGCGTTACCTTTAAGAGCGCTTGGCAAAACAGCCTAACTCTCTCCTTTCTAGCCATCTCAGTACTCGCTTCTCAACCGGCTACACGTCTTGTCAATTTGTAAAAAAAGCCTTCTTCTGTAAGAAACGACTGTTTTTTCTTGAAAGAGAGCGAGCACTTTAAATTTAAGCCCGCGATCTTGCAAGCCGGGTTGTCACAAATAAGACAAAATGAGCCTATGGTTGATGGGACAAATAAATTAGGACCAGCTGCCTGTGAAGAGGAAAGTAAAACAATCCAGCGAAGATTTTCTCATTATTCATTCATTTTTGCCATCGGAACATGACTGTCAGTGAATACCATTCAGCTCCTTCGATGGCAAATCATGTACCTAATAATAAAAAAAAGGGCCTCTCAGAGTCAATATTTGTGTGTCATGGTTTAGTAATTAGATTTCGATAAATTTTCATATGTAGAAAAACTGGAGCTGCCAATCTTTTCTTTTCTTAACTCCGGCGTTATGGAAAACTGAAAACAAGAATACAGAATTTACACCACCTAGCTAAGTTGTTGAAGAAGGAACTGCAATTAAAGAAACGATATAAACATTCATTGAGGGCAAATGTTGGAGGAAGATGGAATGGAAGATGGCACTTTTTTCCAGTGAGGAGTTTCTTCTTGTTGTGGTCGCTAGTCACAGTGCTGCCTTCAGAAATTTCCATGAACAAACAACCTACGTAAAGATCTCTGATCATGAATAATTAAGAAAACTAAGATTAAAAAAAAGGTAGCGATCAATTTAGATGGCACAGTTTCGCGATCTTATTTTAGTAATTTTACAACCGTTATCATGATTTTCTTTTTAAGACTGTTACTGGCGTTTTGTGCTTTTCAATGATGTCGAAGAGGAAATAAACCTGGCGCCATTCATTATCCCGGAGCCTTGAAGTGCAACTGAAAGGAGGTTATCGCTGTTGATTTTTGCCAGTCGAAAGTAAACTAACTGACCAGGGAAAAATTTGATTGATTGACAGCGCAGTAAACAAAAAGCATTTTCTGTCCCAACTTGTGAGTGGCGTACGGGTGATAAGGTTAATAAAAAGTTGATCTTAGGCGCGAAACCTGACCACCTTTCGACGTGAAACGCAGCTGTGTAAAGAAGAACGACAAATAATCGCTCTCAGAGAAGGATGTAAGAATTGTAACGACAACATGATTTGTGGAACATTCAAGACAATTTACCGTTCTGTACAATCAGAGAAGATCATTTCACTCATTCAAGAACTATATTCTTATAACATTCAGATCTCTACGATTACTTGCGGGGATCATGCTAACCCAGCTGTGAAAAGAAGGGACCTAGCACGAAAAATTATCGCTCTCAGACAACGATGAAAGAATTGTAACGACAACATGATTTGTGGAACATTCGAGACAATTTACCGTTCTGTACAATCGGAGAAGATCATTTCACTCGTTCAAGAACTATATTCTTATAACATTCAGATTTCTACGATTACTTGTGGGGATCTATAGCAATGGATACTGAATTCGATTCACGATGGCTGACTTTAGGATAGCACTGCACATAATGCTTCTGATAGGTCTGATAAATGTATGAAATTTAACAGGTCAAGCTGGAATCGCGGGAAAGAAGTTATCATGGCTTATCATTAATATGTAGAATCGATTGTTTGCTGAATCGAATATATACCTTAGAAATCTGATGGATAAAATGTTTGCTGGGGCTAACAGCACAACTTATCTATCTCAGGGGAAAGGTTACGGTTTTTGCCATACTCCGTTTACTGACTGTTATGGACTCGTTTGTCTAAGTCACTTCTCGTTGTTGTTCCGGATAGTCGAAAGAGTCGTCTTAACTATATGGTCTAAATATAAAAACACCCTCTTTTGGATCTCCATTCCTAATACAATGGAAATTTTACCACAGCTGCCAGTAATGTCGCAATCTGATTGGCCAACTTGCCGTTGTCGTTCAGAGTACACACAACGCTGCTTGCGTCAACGTGTCATGCAACGTGTCACGCACTGAAAGAATCGTGTTTTTTTACGTCGATGTTGTGGTAAGAAACAAATCGATAGCGGTTTAGCACAGACCACTATGATGACGAATATCGTTGTCGATAAGAGTAACTACCCTGCTAAGCCACTGTCGGTTTGTTAAGTTGACACATGAATACAAACAACCCGACCGATTAAACACTGGGGTTCAAAAGTAAACAATAAAAGTAGACAATGCTAGTGTACATGTATTATGTCAGAAGCCATCTAACTGAATATCAAACCTGTTAATCAGTTGCAGAATCTATTTGTCATTTATTCATCGTTTCTTTTTTTCTTTTTTCTTTTTTTGTTTTTGTTTTTGTTTTGTTTTGTTTTTTGTTTTTTTTTTTTAGGTGCATGCTACAGATACCTTTCGTAGCTTGCAGGCGAAAGCTTGAACGTTTGGAAAAAGAAGATCCCCTCCTAACTTGTCTTTGCCTTCAGTCGGGCCTCTAAAATCAATGTTTTTGGGTGATACATAAGCGTGATTATAAAGGAAATAGACCAGCTACAGTACCTACGATAGTTGGCCACAGATTCTTGCCCAGAAATTTTTTAGACTCTTCACTTCAGCTGTTAATGATTCTCCCGTCAGTACCAAATCATTGTGAGAACTGAAAAAAAAAAACAAAAACTCGAAATCAGTAGATGACTTCGCTGATGTTTCAGCTGTACAACTAAAGTTTGGTGCTTTGGTGTCTCATTCATACTTAGTTCTTATTAACCGAGCGGGAGGTCTGTATGGGAGAATCTTGACAGAGGTCGCCAGAACAAACCGAACGCAATGAGGTCTCTACCAGCGACCGAGGTCAAGATATTCTCTCATACAGACCGACCTAGCTCGGTTAAAAAGATGTTTATTATATGGCTGTGTCTAGAAAGCAACGGAGCATTATATTGTTTGTAACTTTTTTTTCTAGACCGGTCTAGATGCCGGTCTAGATGGGAAAATCTAGACCGCTTTCAAGATTGATTTTAGCCAATCAAATTCGTGAATTCGGTAGTTCCCAGTCCTTGTGAGACACAGCTATATATTAAAAGCTCTTACAGATTGTGCTAATAAAAGTAGCATATTATGCTACTAGCGGTGCTCAAAATTATGTTTTAACTTTATGCTACTTTTTCTTAAAGTATGCTGTACAAAAAAAAAAAAAAACAAAAGTAAATTGATTAGGTATTGTTAAAAAAGCATTATATCCTCTTGAATTTGTTTACATACTTGCTCTGATAAAACGCTATCAACTACTGCACTTAAATCCAGACTAGAAGCGGTGGCTTAACGTGTCAAAATGTACCATGTTAGCATCACGTTACTCTTCGCCATTTTGTTGCCTGTGAAAGCGAGAACTGGGACCGAGGCAATCTTTACTTCCAGTGTGCCCTGCAGTCTTCTAGACGACGAAAAACTAAACATTGCGGTAACCTTCTCCCAACAAGACATTACAAAGTTGAAAATAGACTGAACCATGGGCTGGACCATGGGCTGAACCATGGACTGGACTTGAAAAAATATTAATCAGTCTAAGAGATCGAGACTAACGAGCAAAAACATTAAACAAGTCAGAACGATGACAAGGTTCCCTTGAAAAAAAAACAAAACAAAACAAAACAAAAAAGGGCTGACTATGTTAGCAATGCTACCTTAATGAAAAGAGCTCGTTCCTTTAAGTTTTTTCAGCCTATGTAAACTAATGATCATGTTGTTCCATTTTCGACCAGGCGTTCACATAACTGGAACTCATTCCTCCTCCGTCACAAATGAAAACGACTTCCGCTACAACTGCCGACAGATGTTGAGTGATCCTGAGTGATACACTTTAGTGAATGCCTACGTGACCATTCAATCTTTTCTGGCAAGCTCAGTAAAAATCGCCACTTTGTCATCAAACGTGACCATAATTCTTCGTTGTGCTCTCTTTTTTTAGCTCAAGGAGGGACTTTGTTAAAATGGCCACAGCTACGCCAGCAACTAGTGTATCAGCACGTCTTACACAAGTCTTCAATGAAGAATTGTCTTGTCCTGTATGTCTGGAAGAACTCAAAGAACCAAAATGTCTTCCTAGCTGTGCTCATAATGTCTGCAAAGCTTGCCTGGAGAACATGGCTCGCGCGAATCCTGAAATTATTTGTTGCCCGACGTGTAGGAGAGTTTCTCAAGTTCCTCCCGGAGGTGTAAATGATCTTCCAACAAACAATGTCTTGATCAAATTCTTGGAGATAACTCCAGGCAGACAACAGAGATTGGAAATTCAGAAATCCGTGGACAATAGCAAGCCCGTGATCAACGAAATGGAGAAAAGGATAAGAATTCTAGACCGAGCCTTAGACATCTTAGAAACCGATTGGAAGAAAGCCAAAGAAGATATTAATTTAACCGCAAACGTCGTGGTAGAGATGGTTCGAAACCAGGAGAGCAGTCTTTGCGAGGATATCGAAGATTTTTACGGGAAGAAGCACAAGATGCTACAGAATCAGCGACAGAATATGAGCAGTTTACTGGCAAGTTCTTCCGCTTGTCTTGAGACAGCTGAAGGAATTCTTCTGAAAGGAGATGTTGACGAATTGACTGAGATGGCAGATGTTCTCACTCAGCAACTGAAAGAAGTAACTCAGATGAATTTTCAAGATGCTGAAGAGCTTAAACAAAAATGTAAGGAGCAGCTAGAGTTTTACCCAAACCACGATCTACAAATCAACCTTGAAAAACAATGCATTGGTGAAGTGCGTAGAAAAATGAGTGACAGAATGCCCTCCAGTCTGACTAGTCCCTTAGGTGTCTCTGATATCAGCTCTATCGGCAAGGTTATGAAGAAAATTGGACGGAAGGGCTCCAGGAGGGGTAAGTTCAAAAATCCTGGGGGCGTTGCTTCAAATACACATGGGGAACTGGCTGTGGCTGATTACTTTAACAACAGAGTAGAAGTATTTGATGAAACAGGAAAGTTTTTGTTCACATTTGGCAAAAAAGGAGCTGGCGAGGGTCAATTTTTGGGTCCAACTGGGATAGCATACACAAGAAGTAACAAAATCCTTGTTATGGACAGCAGGAATTTCAGAGTACAAGTGTTTGACAATAGGGGCCATTTCCTTGCAACTTTTGGCAGGAGAGGCTTCAATCAAGGAGAATTTGGATGGGCAGAAGGCATTTCAGTTGACGAAAATGACAATGTCATTGTCACTGATACAGAGAACAACCGTGTTCAGATATTTTTGCTGGATGGAACATTTGTTCATCAATTTGGTGGGCATGGCCCTGAGGGCTTTGACACACCATTAGGCACTGTCTACCACAAGGATGAATTCTACACATCTGATAAAGGCAACAACTGCGTAAAAGTGTTTGATTGCAATGGTGTTTATGTTCGACAGTTTGGAAGGGTGGGACCTAACACGGGTGAATTTAGGTGCCCCAGAGGAATTGCAGTGGACAGAGCAAATGATTGCATTTTGGTCTGTGACAGTGAAAACAACTGTGTCCATGTATTTAAACTGGATGGTACTTATGTCATGAACTTTGAAACAAAGAAGACACCTGTTGGAATTGATATACTCAAAGGCAAGAAGGTAGCTGTCTCGTCATATTATGGCCACTGTGTCCAGATTCTGTCATACAGATGATAATGAAGTATTGCCTGTACTTAGGCTGTGAGCTGTACCTGTTTTTGAGCATAATCACTTGAGAGAAGCAAAAAACAATTAGCCCAGGAGAAAAGCACTGATGTGATGCTTTTGTCCTGACTTTTCATGTGGCACCCTCATTTCTCTCTTCATGCTAAACAGACTAAGCTTGGAAAGAGGTAATCCTTATGAATTAATAATCTTTGTTGAGGCCTCTTCATTTGAGCCCAGCCACAAGGTTGTTCTAATTAGCAAGGCAATTTCTAGCCTGGTAAAGAGATGATATTGTGGCAAAATTCAACATCTTGACAGCTAGGCTACAGGTAGCTTCCTTTTCCTAAGAACACATCACAACTTCTAGAAGAAGGGAAAGACCTGGGAGGCAAAATCTCTAAACTAAGCTTGCCTGCTTGGTCAGGCTTGTATGTTGAGGCCCTTAGGTAAATTCTGCAAAAGTAATCAAAGAAACATTTTTGTCAGATCTTGGCTGTTTGAAGGATGGTTTGTTCTGTTTATTTTTAGCAATTAAGGTGGCTCGTACCGGTTTTCATCTTTTTGATGGTTTGTAACTTTGAAAGAATACAACAGAAAGACTGACCAAGGCCAGTTCAACACTTTTACTGGGTTGAATTACATAATCATTGGTTATCCAAAAATAAGTGTCATTTCGTCACTAGCAGTTTCCATGGCAACGCTTTCATAGGCTTATTCAGACGCATTTTTTAGCTTGTGTCTAAAATAATTCGAAAACTAATCCGGTGAC